ACAAAGTTGTTAATCGTTTATCGAGTATTAATAAGCACAAAACATATGACCTTTCACGTAGCCGTATCTTGACTCTTCCAAAACTTTGTAGACTTCACAATTAATGCACGAAAAAATGACAAATTCATTACATCACACAAGTCAAAAATCAATTCAAGGTCAAGAAGTAAAATAAATTAAAGTATATGGAGCATAAATCATAATCAAGTCATCATCACTCACATAAGAATTAAGATACAATACGTCAAACATCTCACTTATCCATCATAAGCTGACACAACTTCAAATATGTAAACTCTTTTGTCCAGCTTCTTTAAATCTACTTATAGAGAAATTTCTTCATATGATACCGATAACAAGAATGTCAAGCATACTTTCATCACTATGTTGATGCACAAATCAAAGAGGGAAAAAAAGAGGGGGAAAAAAAAGTAAATCAAACATTTGTTTTAGAGAATAGGTATACTCACTTGCTTATTTTCTAAAATAAAAAAAAAAAGGCTCATGAAGATTGGGTTGGGTACAAATGAATTTTGATCCTTTATCATTTGTTTCTTAAACTGTGAACTAGACCATATTACAATCTTTAAAAGACCTAATTGAAGCTAGATTTCTTTCGAAAGTATACTACAATAAGGTTGTGTAAACCGACTCCTAAGATTTTTTACAAATCATTTGTCTTGGTATATTCATAACTTTGCTTTCTCTTTCACTTTAAATGTCTAAATCGCCGTGTTTTGACCAGTGATTCATTTTTTATACATCAATAACATCATTTCAAAAATGATTTTGATTTTAAAACTTTTGCATGAACTTTGCATTAAAATTACCATGTTTGAATAAACAAATTTTGCTTGCAAATCAAGCTTTCCTCATCAAGGAAGTTCAAACACTTGAGAAACTTGGTCAGTGATCCTATCAAGGGAAAGTATCTTCCAAATCCTATTGTGAATCACTTCAAAGTTTATTGCTCAACACAAATTATTCTCAGAATTGGTTAGCCAGAAGATCATTTTCAAGACTCATACTGAGGCAATCCTTTCCCTCAATCATGTCAAGAAACTGAAGTCATGATCAGTTTATTCCCAACAATAGTCGACTGAAGCCATGATCAGTTTATCCTCAGTTCATTTCATTTTATCCCGCGGTTTACTCTTGTACTTTCATCTGATACTCTAAGAATCATCTGAACCACTTATTTGAGACTTTGGGTTATTTTCTATGCGTTGTTGGATTTGTTTGTGTCTCACGTGATGCAGGAATTCTTATCTGATATCTCGAGCTTTATCTGATACCTTGCGCCTATCTGATCCCTCAGATTTATCTATGCTTTCTTCGTGTGATTTATTTTCACGTGTTGCGCTTCTCGCTTGTGATTTATTTTCACTCGATGACTAGTACTCTCTTGGCTCATTCTTTATCTAGAGTTATAATCCAAAGGGATGAGAACGTTGTATTGACTTCTTTATGTCAAGTATTGTCTTCTTATTTGGTTAGACTTTTCCTTACTCATCTTTTACTTCCTTCTTTTAGGATAGTCTCTTCATCTCCTATCTCATTCTTCTTCAATTTTCAAATTCTTCTCGGCTTTTTTCAAAACTTCTTTATTTTCAAACTTTAACCGCTTTTATAATAAACATCGACTATGTCGAGTGACTTTTCAAACTTCTTTTCTTCTTCAAATTTCTCAAAGTACTTAATAAATAAGGATGAGAATCACAATTCCACGAGTCTTAAGAAGTGAAGAAGGATGAGTGGGTCCATTCCCGGAACTTATCCTTCATTCTATTCATAGTATTTTGTGTTATTCAAATCACAAATTCTTTTTCAAAGCCTAAAAAACATTCAAAACTCCTTCAAACCTTTTTGTACGCTCGAGTACCTTTTTCCTTTAAAATCTTTTTCCAGATTAGATATGATTCATTTATAATCGAGATGTTATTCCTCTATCGTCATGGTTGTGGACTTTTCCACTTGAGTACTGTTCTCATTGTACTGTAAAAAATATAGCGCTAAAAATTTGAGTTTAAGCCATTGATTGACTTAACTCATATCAAATAGTTAAGTCAGGTACATCAAAAATACACAAATTTAAAGAAATTGATTTAAATTGGTCTTTTCGATCCCTGTGAAGTAGTTATGTGAGAAAATCATATCAAGTAATTGATTTATCAAAAAAAATAAAACTACATCAGTACCTTGTTCAAAAGAAGGAATCAAGTTTCCTGAACTAGTAGCATGATTTCCTTACACTGAACTTCATTAATTAGCATAAGCCTATATCCAAAACATGGAATCTAGTTTTATGAAATTTTTTCTAGTATCAGATGTCAAAAACAGAACTACGTCAATCTTAGAATTTTTTTTGGAATAACCAGGTATTAAAAAAAACCGCAAATAACCACGTTTCAGAAAAAATTACGCAAATAACCATGTTTCAGATGGCTCTCCAAAGGATAAGCCATCTCACTTGGCTCCTCCACTAAGAATTTAGCCCTAGGCGCCATCTCACTTGGTGCCTCCTCTCTCTTTTAGCCAAGTGAGATGGCGCATGCACTTTAAAAGTGAGAGGAGGCGTAATCTCACTTGACTCCTAGGGTAAAATGTTGTTTTTATAAAGTGAGGTTCTGCTGTTTTAGCCCACCTATACAGTTCCTTGTGTAAAAATGCAATCAAGGAAAAATGTACATTTTATAGCTGCGCTTTCTTACTTCAAGCCTGGGGTTGGTGGAGGATGGAGTCTCTAAACCCCGTCAACAATAACACATTCATTTTCGCGTACGCAACAAAGTAAGTCATCAAGTTATATCATTTATTATCATTCATCTCTTCACCAAATATATGCTAAACATAAAATATTTTTCATTTCCTTTAGGTATTGCGTGAGGGGTATGGATTACGGCAAGAATCCAAGATTCAATGTCGCACTATACCGCAATCTATTGGATCACCTAGGCCCGGATGATGTACGTCGTACCTTTCAACTTTTCTACTTTTAAATTATTTATATATTACGTTTTCATTAACCTGATTTAATTTTATGCGCAGTTTGTCTGGAGACCATATTTGGGTTTGGGCCATGAACCAAACCCCGAGGATGCAGCAATTTGGAGCGCCAAGACTGCAATCATACGGTTCAATATTGTGGAGATGCACCACAGCGATCGTGTGAAGATGCAGTTCAGAATGCATCAAGAGATACCTAGTGATATGACTTGTTTGTCCCCGTGGCATCTCAAAAGGGTCGACGTCCAATGGGGTCTTACCAACTGGAAAGGCTTTGCTCCAGAATGGTGTAAGATGTGGTAGAGGCGTCACCGACATGTCTTGCAATTCCCGGTTTTCCTCAATCATGGTAATATGTGACACACGGATCAGTATTTATCTTGGTACAGGTCGGTTAGTAACCCTGAAATGCACGTGTCTCATCCAAGGTATTTGGTTGACCCACGAGCACAATGGGCACAACCCTCATTTCCCCAACAACAAACCCAACACACATCAACCTCCCAACAACCCCCCAGACAAAACAGAACCACAAACACTCAACCACAGTCGCCACCACAATACAATTATCCCCATATGCCTCACACCCAACCGCAATTCCAATCACAATACCAACGCACCCGCATACCCCACACACAATTTCAGTCTTCTATATATCACAATATGGGCCCCTCAACATCCAACCTTAGCCCTGATCTGGGAATGTCGGAAGATAATGAACCAACCGACCCAACTTACCATCAACCACAGTATCACCAAACTACCCAACATCCTCAATACCAAACACCCCAAGATCCATTTCCTTTCTACCCCCCGTACTCAAACGATCAATGCTATAGACCAACCATGGAACCCCACTCACCGCCAACACGACCAAACTTTGAGGGTATGGGTAACCGGCTGTACCAAATCGGATCTTCTAGATATGGAGATCTGACTAATTTCATAGATCCGGAACGCATTGACTTCGCTGGGCCATCGACCCTGCCACAGCAGGAAACGCGACGACACCCAGCACGAAAAAGCAGAGGACGGGGATGCGGAACCGGGGGTCATTACCGGGTTCCGGGGGACCACTGATTAATCTGTTTTTTTATTTAATATGTTTTTTTTATGTAATACTTATGGGTGTAATCATTTTTTGTAAATAAAAAGTCAATTTTGTTGATCCTATATCGAATACGTAACGCACTGGATTGAAAAAAAATGCGAAAATTGTCCTAGGAAATGCACTAAGGCGTCATCTCACTTGGCTTAGGGTAAGCCCTAAGCACCTAGGCGCCAAGTGAGATGGCGTCTCCCCTTAAAAAGTAGGTGTAAGCGCCAAGTGAGATGACTCCTCCTTTGGGGAGTCTCTGAAACATGGTTATTTGCGTAATTTTTCTGAAACATAGTTATTTGCGAAAAAAAATTTTAATACCTAATTATTCCAAAAAAAATTCTAAATATAATATTGATATTAAGAAAACAAATAATTTAATACAAAGAAAAATGGCAAAGGGAATATCTAATTTAAGGCTCATGAAATATCAAAATCAAGGTTCTTAATGTTTGTGATTTAGTCAAAGAGATCACATATAGAAGGTAGTAATTTCTTCATCTCATAAAAATGTTATACTTGAGTTGTGTATGATTCTTTAAAAAAAATGATTAAATTTATTAAATTTAATTGTATAGTTATTATTATTTATTAAAAGATATTTATTAATTATAGTTAGTAGGATAAATAATTGAATTGGAAGGCGCCAAATAAAAATATAATATTGATATTTCTAAAAATACAACTAATTAAGAAACGTTTTTCTAGAAAGAGGATATAAGATAGTCTTCAGCAGACCATCATATGATTGTGGTGTAGCTAAGCCTTCAGCACACCACTTTTGACTCAAAATAACATTAATAATAACTGTGGGACCTCCATCCCCTTCCACGAACTATATAATGCTGTGCTTTTACTCCAAATTAGAACAACAAAAGAAAGACAAGAGAACACAATGTTTGCGATAATATGTGGGATCTCGTTGGTATTGTTCATTGTAATCCAATGGTATTCCAAGTCTAGAAAAAGCAAGAACTCACCTCCTTCTCCTCCAAAGCTACCCATTATAGGAAATCTCCATCAACTTGGTAAATTCCCCCACCGCACATTTCTATCTCTAGCTAAAAAATATGGCCCTGTCATGCAAATCCATCTTGGTAGTGTTCCATGTCTCTTGATCTCATCCTCCGAAGCAGCACGTGACGTGATGAGAACCCATGATCATCATTTTGCAGACAGACCCCAAAAGAACAATTACAAGATACTTATATATGATTGCAAAGATGTTTCAACTGCTCCTTATGGAGATTACTGGAGACAGTTGAGGAGCATCTCTGTCTTGCATCTTCTCAGTGCTAAAAGGGTTCAATCTCTTCGCTCCGTACGAGCCGAAGAAATCAGTTTAATGATGGAGAAGATAAAGCATTCTTCTTCTACTTCTCAGCCGCTTAATTTAAGTCAACTCATCGCTTCCACGGTAAATGATATTGTTTGCAGGGTTGCTTTGGGAAGAAAGTATAGTGGTGAAGAAGGAAAGGGATTTAAAAAGTTGTTCAGGGAATTTACCAATTTACTCGGTATGTTTATTGTTGGAGACTATGTACCTTGGCTTGATTGGGTCACCCATGTCTCTGGAACTTATGGAAGAGCTAGAAGAGTCGCCAAACGCTTTGATGATCTTTTGGAGGATGTTGTTGAAGATCATATCAAAACTCACAAACAAGCCAATCATGATCTGGGTGAAGAAAACCATAAAGATTTTGTTGATGTTTTGCTTTGGATTCAAAGGACTGAAGCACTTGGCTTTCCTATTGACAGAATTGTCATAAAGGCTCTCTTATTGGTAAGTCTGTCTCTCTGGATAATAAATCTCTATTTCATGAATATTTTCCCCTAACCATGTATTTGTTTGTTTATGCACAGGACATGTTTATTGGAGGTACAGGCACGACGGCTAGTTTGCTGGATTGGGAAATGTCAGAGCTGATAAAGAATCCGCACATGATGAAGAAATTGAAAGAAGAAATAAAAAGTGTTGCAAATGGTAAAACACACATAGCAGAAGAAGATTTGGTTAACATGAAATACTTAAAGGCAGTGGTTAAAGAAACACTACGATTACATCCTCCATCACCGCTACTAATCCCTCGAGTAAACAAAGAAGATACCGAATTCAATGGTTACCATATAAAAGCCGGGACACAAGTTATTATAAACATTTGGGCGATTGCAAGAGATCCTGCAAATTGGGATTCACCAGAAGAATTCAAGCCAGAAAGATTCTTGGATAATACAATAGATGTTAAGGGTAATGATTTCACATTGATTCCATTTGGATCAGGGAGAAGAGGTTGCCCTGGGGTTGTGTATGCTTTGTCTGTAAATGAAATTATGTTGGCCAACATTGTGCATCAGTTTGACTGGGAAATACCTGGAGGCTTTGAGACATTAGATATGGCTCCATCAACTGGCTTTCTTGCGCATAAAAATACTCCTATTATCGCTCTTGCAACTCCTACTAGTAACTAACAAGGAGTAATCAACAACTCGGAGCCAATCAAAAAAGGGGAAAAAAACAAGTTACAATTATACTAGTAATAAATAGTGCAGCAACTTCAAAATAATGCAGTAATTCGTACACGAATTTACTTTTAATTATTGAGTATGGTTTTGTTGCTAATTATATTTTGAAACCGCAATCTTTTGTATTATCACTGAGTTTTCTTTGTAAGATTTTCAATAAAGCAGCTGGCCAAATATTTTTACATCTTTATATCCCACCTAGATAGAAATGCTTGTGAGACACAAACAATTTACAGAGTATAATGAAAACCATAAGTAGTTTTGGGTTTTATTTAAAATAGAGTGCAACACATTATTCACTTCAATATAAAAATACTTGATTCCATATATTTATAAATAATATTACTTACAATAATTTCAATATTATATAATTTTAATACTTGATTCCATATATTTATAAACAATATTACTTACAATAATTTAAATATTATATAATTTTGAAGTTACCAGCTCATCTGCAACTGACAATGTATTAAATAGTTTTGTTTAAAATAGACATCGAAATCAGACTATGGACTATGAGATTATTGAAATACTAAGCCGATGCCATATTTTATTATTGAGATATTTATTTTTGTTTGTAGATCTGATTTCACTGCACGATACATCTCATCACATGTATATCAATATCAAATTTTGAAATTGTTAATTGGTTCATAAGGTTAGACTCTTCATAGTTTCCAAAGTTCATATAAAATTTAACAAACTCCATCAATCTTTCCCCTTCCCCGAGACTTTAATTCTATTTGTTAAGCTCCATTGAATCATTAAAATGAGTGTTTAAAGTTGATTAGGGGTTTAAGTTAATTGAACTTGTTGAAAATTGACATTGATTGTGTACAATTTAGTTAGAGTGATGAAATTTTGCTTAGTTATCACGCTGATTGTGTATTCAGTTATGTGAAAGTGAATGTTGGATCACAATGACAGGAATACTTAGTTCCTAAAGAATATTTTGAGACCATGAGGAAGTCCACCATGCTAAATTGATTTCCACTCTCTTCGTATGAACTAATATGTAATGTATTCAAGAAAGAGTTTGGAGAGACACCAAATAAAGTATTTATTATCTACTTTGTTCTCTTGATAAATGTCTAATTTTTGCCGAACTAGTTGTCATTCATGGTTGTGGTGGGTGAATTTTTCCTTGTAATGTGTAGGTAGTTGTTGAGTTCGATCCAGTTCCAATAGCAAGTGCTTCCCTTGCACATGTTCATGTAGCCCGCACACATGATAGCCAAAAAGTTGTTGTGAAGGTTCCATCTGTTGCTAAATTTTATTCACACTTTATTATTAAAAGAAATTGAATATATTTTATTATGATTGATTTGAATATGAGTAAGTATTTCATACATAAAAGTATTGTTCATTTATGTGATCCCTGTCAATGTACAAATCCAACATTCTTAAATGACGGATACTGTAGCAACTGATTAAGCTTCTGTAAAATTAATTTTGATTAGTTATTGTAGTTATGTCGAAGTCGATGATATAAGGTTGATGAGACTTCGATCATAGAGAATATGATTTCAATTATAGTTGCATTCCAATTTTGATGACATAAAAACTGTTATGAGTTATGTCGTAGCTCAATTTAAAGTTTTGTCGAAATCAATGATATAAGGTTGGAGACACTTCAATCACATATAATGTGACTTCAATTGTAGTTGCATTGCAGTTTCGATGAGACTTCAATCGCAGAGAATGTGACTTCAATTGTAGTTGCGGAAATGTTGGGTCACACTGATTGACTATCAAAACTGAGATACCAAAGAACCAAATACTTGTAAATTCTGGGTCTGAATTTGGTGTTAATGAAAATTATATGTTACACAAACTGGAATAACTTATTGGTTTAAATTATTAACAGTTAATAATTTTGAGTATGTTCTAAAATGACAAGAAAATATTAAAGTGAATGTTAACTTTGAATTCAAAATTAGTTGTATTTTGAATTTGAAAATAGGCAACACTTGTGAAGTGTTGCAATAGTTTGTTTGTATTTTAAATTCGCAAAAATAGACGACGCTTCTGAATTGGGCAAAACATTTTAATGTTTGGTAAAAGTGTTGCTATAGACGATATAGTGCAACGTTTAAAAAGTGCTTTTATAGGTAAAATAGTGTAACATTTGACAAAAGTGTTTCCGAAAGTTTGTGTTTCACCCAGGATTGCAACCTTATGAAACAACACCAGTTTGACCTATAAATTGAACATTCTGGATTAAAAAAACACATCAAAAAAGTCTTTCATCTTCACATAAATTTCAGACACTCTTCATTATATTTGAGTTTTCGTCGATCTTCCACAAACTCGATAAAATGTTGAATTATCCTTGATATTTCTGTGTAGAAACGCTAAGAGAATTTGAGAATGTTTAAAATACTATAAAAAAAATGATTTCGTTCACGATTCTAGTCTTGGTGTATTTTGACTTAAATCAATTGTTCTAATATTTTGATTTAATTTTCAAACACTCTCAAATTATCATGTTGCATCATGACACATTATGAATACAAGAAGAATCTCATTATGAATTCGGGTTTTTTTTTTTCTCATAAAAATTCATAAGATTGTGTATATCATAATACTAAGTTCAAATGAACTTTTCTAATAGTAGGTATCTATTGAGGATGGAAGATCTCATAGAAAGTTGTTGAAGAATGAAACAGAAAACAATCAAGATGAAGAAGAAATTGGAAATCTGTTATTATTTCTTAACTGTACAAAGGGGCAGGATTACTGCTATTTATACAAATCCAATGAATGAATGCCACCTAAGCTAGCTATATATAATCTTATCTTATTTACATGTAATAAGGAAAAGTAAAAAATATACAAGAATACTTCTATATACTCCAATATGCCCCCTCAAGTTGGACTATGCAAACTGGAAAGTCCCAACTTGGTGAAAATAGATGAAAAAGATGGAGAATGTAGAGGTTTTGTGAAGGCATCAGCTAGTTGGGCCTTGGTGGAAACTGGAAGCAGATGAATGAGTTTAGAAACAATTTTCTCACGAACCACGTGACAATCCAGCTCAATATGTTTGCTTCTTTCGTGAAAAGCAGGATTATGGGCAAGATAGATCGCTGACTTGCTATCACAGTATACAACTGCTGGCTGATCAAAACTAATCTGAAAATCATTAAAGAGGTATTGTAACCATTGCAGCTCACAGGTGAGAGATGCTAAAGCTCGATATTTGGCTTCAGTGGAAGATCGAGAAACCGTGTTTTGTTTCTTTGATTTCCAGCTAATGAGGGATGCACCAAGAACAACACAAAAACCTGTGATGGATTTCCTTGTGGTAGGACATCGTGCCCAATCAGAGTCAGCGAAAGCATAAAGTTTCAAGTTACTTGAAGCTGAAAAGAGGATACTTTTGGCTGGAGAAGATTTGAGGTACCCGAGGACCTTCGTAGCATCCTGATAATGTGGTGCAAGGGTATTAGAGACATATTGACTTAAGTGCTGCACAGCAAAGGAGATGTCAGGTCTTGTGTTTGTCAGATAGATCAGTCTGCCTATTAATCTTCTGTACGAAGTAGGATCAGCTAATGGTTCACCATCAGTGGAAGATAACTTGAGATTTGGATCAAAGGGAACGGAAGAAGGTTTTGCTGCAAGGAGACCTGTGTCTTCCAGCAATTCAAGAGCATACTTCCTTTGATTCATAAAAATTCCTTTAGTAGATCTGGCAATTTCAAACCCCAAAAAGAACCTGAGTTGGCCAAGGTCTTTAATCTTGAACTTCTCATCAAGAATATTTTTAACCAACTGAATTTCCTGAATAGAATTACCAGCTATAATCAAGTCATCTACATAGACAAGGATGGCAGTGAACATGTCTTTGTTAGTTTTGACATATAAGGAATGATCAGCTTGAGATTGAGAGTAACCCAAGGAAATCAGAAAAGTAGAGAGTTTAGAATACCACTGCCTGCTTGCCTGCTTTAGACCATACAAAGATTTCTGAAGTTTGCAAACCTGAGAGGGATTGGATGTGGTGAGACCAGGAGGCATTGTCATATAAACTTCTTCATGTAAATCACCATGAAGGAAAGCATTGTTAACATCCAATTGTGTTAGATGCCAGCCTTTTATAGCAGCAATGGATAATAGAACCCTCACTGTTGTTATTTTTGCCACAGGAGAAAAGGTATCAAAGTAATCAATCCCCTCCATTTGAGTGTATCCCTTAGCTACCAGCCTAGCTTTATATCTCTCAATAGAACCATCTGACTTGTATTTAATCTTGTACACCCACCTGCAGCCAATGGGAACCTTTCCTGGTGGAAGGTCAATAACATCCCATGTTTGATTTTCTGCAAGAGCTAGTAGCTCAGCGTCCATAGGTTGTTTCCAACAGTCATTTTTAATGGCTTGTGTGAAAGTTTTTGGCTCAGAATTAGAAGAAACAGACAGGCAAAAAGGTTTATATGAGGAACAACAATTATCATATGTAAGGAAAGAAGATAGTGGATATTTGACTTGGTGAGAAGAATGAGAAGTAGAAGAGTAACAATGGTAGTCTTTTAAGTATTGAGGGGGGTGAGAGGCGCGAGATGACTGTCTTGAAGGTAAAGTTATAGTTTCTGCAGAAGTCTGGGGAAGACTATTATTGTCTGCAGATGGCTGAAGTGTAGGGACTGGTTCATCGGGTAAAGGAGTGGTATGGTTTGGCATAGGTTCAGAATCTGTCCTAGGTACAGAAATAGATTCATGGGGTCTATCATGCTCAGAAATAGAGATAACATTAGGATTATGGGAAGGAGCAGTAGTGGTGGGATGATGTGAATTATGCATTGTCAAGTCAGGTGAGCTGGGAGGAGTGGGGCCAGGATTGAGAAATTTAATATTAAAAGGACAACTAGCAGTGTCATTTGTTGATGTAGACACATCAGGAGATAAAGACAAGTCAGTAGTGCTAGGTTGGTCTATCT